TGAGAGGGAATGACAACTAAAAGAAATGGGGTGATTGATATGCTATTAATAGGGAGTATATTAATTACAATTATGGCAGTTAATGAAATGCTTGAAATAAATTATAAATAAAATATGAAGTTTAGTGGCAATGATGTAAAAACATAGAAATACTACGACCTCTTATATCCTACTGGTCATTTAAATTTGAATTTGGGTTTTCAACGTAGTTATATAGATAGATGGGTTTGTGTCTAGGGGATATCAGTTGTATGTGCTTATATTGGAGTCTCTCTTTACTTTTTAAAGTAAATTTTTTTATGCTATTCATGTATTTGTATTTTTATTATTTTGGTAATTGGAACAAGGACCGGTGCAATTAAAGAACTGGACCCATACGGTACCGGCAAATCATGTGAGATATTGTTGTGAGGTTGCCAAATTTTGGTGTATGGTTGGTGTAACTTGTTGCGGCCTTGTGTTGCATGCCATTGCCTAACATGAACATCAAGGTCGGCCAGCCAGAGGACTTTCTGCCGAAATATAGATAGGGAAAAAATAGGACATTAAATGGGCAAACTCTACTAGGGGAGGAGATTTTTCGTGTCTCAACCACCTAAAATTTCAATTTAGTCATTAATTAGGCACCTTTCTGCGGTTGTACCTATGGCCTAAAAAAAATTTATGACGTAAAACGACATGTCGGCTAAAAATATATAGTTGTAGGGTATACCACCAACTGACTTGTCAAGGTTGGTTGTAGGGTTTACCACCAGCCCAGCCGACTGACTTATCCAATATTGAAAGAAATTGTAGTGAGATATTGTGAGGTTGCAAATTTGTTCAATGCATCTCAAATTGAGTGTATATAGATCCAAACTGCTACTTTAATGTGGTCATTTTCACCACAATTTGACTTGCAAAAGCCGAGGATTTTGTTTTGACTTTATTGACCCTTGGTTTCTCTTTCAGGAGAAGATTTGTTTTTTGTTTTTGTTTTTGGGTTTCTCTTTAACGAGAAGCTTTGTTTGTTTGTTTTGTTTTGTATTTTTTGACACAAGTGATCAATTAGGGAGGGAGGGATTGAACATGAGTGTATAAATAACTGCTATTAACTATTTGACTTACAAATCCCTTGTTAATTACAAAAACTTAATTAATATAGAATCGCCAACCACTAATGATAGAGTAGTGACCATATACATTTAATTAGCAATATAGCAATTTGGTTTTTCCCATCCTACCATGCTCATACGTTTTCAAACTTGATTTTTCTTCATTACAATGGAGATGTATGATAATGTTATTGATGCAGATAAGGAGACATTAAAGTTTATGGTGCATTTGGCTTTTAATAAGTTCCATGACTTTGGAATAGTTTGGCTTTAATAAATTCCATGTACTTGGAATACTTAGAGTTCTCAATGTATCTAAATTAATGGGGTTCATTAATTTGGGTACTAGTTCAATGTATGGGGTGAGAGATTTAAATACTTGTATGCATAGACTTCTCAAATCAATTGTTGAGAATTGAAATTGAAAACAAAGAGAGTGTATCTTTGCTCATAATCTAGGTATTCTTAAAATTAACGAGTTTGAGCATTTTATCCTATCTTTTATGCCAAGTTTCAGGTATTCTTAGACTAAACGAGGCTTGGTGGTTCGTGGTTCATGTTTTTCAACATCCTTACTCGAGTGCCGCTGCATCAGTTATGTTATGAAATAATCTGATATGTTATATTGTCAAATTATCAATGTGCACAATTAGAATCCAACTGGAAATTAATTGAAATACACAGTTTGGCAAGGGACTAATATTTTGTAAATGACTGTAGCATTCTTAATGGTTTGACTGATAAAATATTTTGGTTTTTGGTTTTTGGTTTTTGTTTTTTTGGCTTTTAGAGCATTTCCACCAGTTAGCCCCTTGCCTAGGGCAGCTACTATTCACGTGAATAGTGGCTGCCCTAGCCCCCCAACAAAGTGTGGTTCCAGCAGTGCAAGACTTGCCATGGCAAATACTATTCATTTTTTTTGTTTTTTTTTTCACAACTTTGTTTACTTAAACAATTAATGTGGATAATATTTTCGGATAAGATTTTTGGGTTACTACGTGTCAATACTATTCATATCGGATCAGATTTTCGGTTTCAAATTTCAGATAAATTTCAAATTTCAGAAACATTTCAAAATTCAAATTTCAGATAAATTCAAAATGTCAAATTTCGGATACATTTCAAAATTCAAATTCCAGATAAATTTCAATTTTCAAATTTCATGTGAATTTCAAATTTCAGATAAGATTTTCACCATCTAAAATTGCCCCACATGTCATCTCTATCTGCCTAAATTTTTCTATAAAACCAGAAGCTCAGCTCATACCTCCCACACCATATCTTCTCTACATCTTCATTTCTCATATTTTAGATTTCATTTATCAGATTTTATATTTCATTCTCCATTCTCAATTTCAGACATGGAAGAGGTTTTGGAGAGGCAAGAGCGAGAAAGGCGAGCAAGAATACGTAGAAGAGCTGCAAGCAAAAGGGCGCAGAGAGAACCATATGAGCAACTTGGTGTGGCCGTTGCTTTGCTGGAGGAAGAAAACCAGAGCAGCCGTGGTTCAAGAGAAGGCCAGGCACCGAATGTGGACAGAGATAGACATTCTCGGGGTAAAAATCTTCTGGAAGATTATTTTATCCCACAATCTCTATACTCTGATGTTCATTTTCGAGCAAGATATAGAATGCAACCCCATTTGTTTAATAAAGTCATGCATGATATTTGCAATTATGATGACTACTTTGTTCAAAAGAAAAATTGTGCTGGAAATTTGGGACTTCTTCCCGAGCAAAAGTTCACAGCTATGATAGGAATGTTGGCGTATGGGTCATCTGCTGATAAGGTAGATGAGATTGCCAGGATGGGGAAGTCCACTATTTTGGAGAGCTTGGTACGATTTTGTGATGCAGTGGAAACTCTGTACACCAGGGACTACCTACGCCGGCCTATGCCCAGGGACATGCAATGCCTTCTACAAAAAGCTGAGTCTCGTGGATTTCCTGGGATGATTGGTAGCATTGACTGCATGCACTGGCAATGGAAAAATTGTCCAACTGCTTGGCAAGGGGATTATGGCAATCGGAAAGGGCAGAAAAGCATCATCCTCGAAGCAGTTGCTGGTTTTGATACATGGGTTTGGCACGCCTTTTTTGGAGTTGCCGGCTCTCAAAACGATTTGAACATCCTGGGTTAATCCCCGGTGTTCAATGATGTTCTGAGAGATGAAGGCCCAACTATCACATATCAAATTAATAATACCGTTTACCAGAACGGGTATTATCTAGTTGATGGTATCTACCCGAGGTGGACAACATTTGTGAAATCAATTCTACATCCCCGATCCCATAAGGAAATTTTTTTTGCTGCCTATCAAGAGGGGTACAGAAAAGATGTGGAGAGGTGCTTTGGTATCCTTCAAGCTCGGTGGGCAATTATCAGGGGCGCAGCTCGTCTATTTGATGAGGAGATGCTTATGAGTGTAATGATGACTTGTATCATCCTCCACAACATGATTGTGGAAGATGAGTATGATTACGATGCTAACGAAGTGTATGAATCAGATCCCATGAACACGGCCTTAACACAAATTTATGAAAAACCTATGGGGCCAAATGGAGAACAAGTGCAGCATGATCCGTTGGTTAGAGATGGTAGTTTGATGCATCGCATGATTGAGCGCTACACGGAGATGCAATCGTCGTATATTCATGAACACCGTTAAGTTGACTTGATGGAGCATTTGTGGGCGGTGAAAGACAATAAAGGACAATGAAGTGAAGTCAAGACGTTTTTTGAATGTATTATGTTTTTGCTGTATTTTTAGTTATGCTTTGTTGTTTTTTTATGCTTTAGTTGTGGTTTGTTTATTTTTTATGCTTTGGTTGTGGTTTGTTTATTTTTTTATGCTTTGGTTGTGGTTTGCTTTTTATGTATGGAATGTTTAGAATAAAAAGGAATTTTGTTGAATATTTTCTTCATTCACTAAAAGAAAATCAATACAACTCATAAAATAAAATACATGAATTACCACTAATTTTTTAAACAAAACAAAAAATACAATGAAATGAAAGGCAAACAAACTAACTTAATGGTACAATAAAATGAAAGGCAAGCAAACTAACTTAATGGTTTTGATCATTTAACCAATTCGTGTTGCTAGGTCCATCGTCACGAAAAAGTCTTCGTCTCATAACATCCCTTTTGTTCTAACTTCCAATATTGTTTTGTTTCGGGGGACATATGGGTTGTATCCATAGCCATGGTTTTCCGATCTTTTTTTTCAATCTTTTCTTGGCGTACATACTCCCTTTCTTTTGCATATTCTACTTCCATTGCCCTATCGTGCTCTTGTTGTTTCATGTCCATTTCAATTCTCATGGTTTGCATCTTTGAAAGCTCCTAGTTAATGTACAATAACAATAGGCAAAGGACATATGAAAGGAAAAGGAAAATCCGAAAGTATTTCCGTATTTCCGCGCCAAGTTTGAGTTCACATGAAACAGAAAGGAAAATCAATACGAGATTGAACGCATGTTTTGCACGTGAAATGACCAAACATTTCCAAACCAATCATCCATTTTGAAAGTTTTTTTTTATAAACAAAAAACAAAAAACTTTTTGACATGGCGATGCAGGATAGGCTTGGGTACTGCCACGGTGACATCTCGTTACATTTAAGTTCTTCTTAGTTTCCTCACAACATGCATTAATTGCTTCTCTCTCCTCCGAGGTGTCAAATTTTGGACAGTGGAGATCATTTGTTTGAGCAAATTTCAGATTTTTGTTTAAATTGAACACGGTTCAGATTCGAGTAGTTTTGGAAATGAGATTTGACTTTCTTGCTTTGTGTATTTATTGTCTTCACATATGCTTTTACAGTATAAATTGTATTGTACTAGCGTGAAGAAAGCATACAGAGCAAAACCAACACTTGTTTTTCTAGTGGGGTTTGGCTAGAAGTTTTCCAAGGGCCAATTTCTGTTCTTTTCTTCTGAATTCAAAATATTGGCTCCATTGGTGAAAGTTAGAGCTTCTATGCTTAACTTGGTGGGTTTTTGTTGAAATGGAGGGTGGTGATATTCACAGAGCTGCCAACAGTCTCCAGTTAGGCAGTTCTATGAGATGGAGGAACAATGGTGTGGAAATTTTTTCGAGGTCTTCGCGTGAAGAAGACGACGAAGCAGCTCTTAAATGGGCAGCACTGCAGAAGCTTCCTACTTATAATCGTTTGAGGAAAGGTATACTGACTTCGCCAGCTGGCGAGGCTAGTGAAGTTGATATACCAAATCTTGGCTTTCAAGAAAGAAAGGAATTGATTGAGAGGTTTCTGAAAGGTGCTGAAGAGGACAATGAGAGGTTCTTGTTGAAGCTCAAGAATCGTATCGATAGGTAATAAGAAAGCTATGAAAACAAACAGGTTTACTACGTTCTTCTCATAAAATTCAGTTTAGCTATGAAAAGAATTATTCTTTGTAGGTTTAGGAACATAGATAAACCGACATGCTTTATACCTTTATGTCTTTTTGTTTTGCATTTATTGTTTGAGTTCATTTTGGTGAAAGTGCCTTTCCGACAGAAAAAAGAAAAGATAAACCAACATGAGGGAAAGATGTTCCAATTCCAGTTACAACCTCCTAAAAAAATCCAAATTTACGATGAAATTCCGGTGTTGGATTGGATTCCTTAGTGGTGGAAAAAAGCTGTGTGATCGGCATTTGCTTTTGGAATTCAAAGTTTGTTTTATGCTTTGTAATTGAACTTTCTTTGATGGGTTGCTATTTCTTGAATATTTTCAGAGTTGGAATTGGTCTTCCAACAATTGAAGTTCGATATGAACATCTAAACGTAGAAGCCGAAGCTTTTGTAGGAAGCAGGGCTTTGCCTACACTCTTTAACTTCATCGTTAACATGTTCGAGGTAATGATGCAGCAGAAGTTTATGTAGGAAGAATCTCTGCACGCAGAGGTTGATGTTTTTGGTTTAATGATTTTTTAGTGATATTGTCCTCAAAGTTTAATTAGTTTTTTCCATTGATTTTGAAGGGCATCTTGAATCGTCTCCATATTCTTTCAAGTAGGAAGACACATTTGTCTATCCTCCACAGTGTTAGTGGAATCATAAAGCCTAGCAGGTGAGAAAAGGGCTAGTTTGTCTTCTTTTACCTTCCTCACTTTTAGAAGAAAAAAAGAAAATGATATTTGGTCACCTAGTTATCATTTGTTTTGTGTGCTTCTTTTAGAATGACATTGCTATTGGGTCCTCCAAGTTCTGGCAAGACCACACTGTTGTTGGCTTTGGCAGGAAAGCTTGATCCAGACCTAAAGGTGCAAAGGAATCTCATTAATACCTTTAAATCTTTATCCAATTGGTTTTCGAAAATATTTGAACGATCTCATAACTAATTTGAAGACCAAATGTTATGCCTCAGCTTTCTGGAAGGGTGACTTATAATGGCCATGAAATGAATGAATTTGTACCCCAAAAAACTGCTGCTTACATCAGTCAACATGATCTTCATGTTGGAGAAATGACTGTAAGGGAAACCTTGGCCTTTTCTGCAAGATGCCAAGGGGTTGGAACACGCTATGGTTAGCCCATTCGTGGAACTGTTTTTCTTTTCATTCCATATCTATTTTTGGGGAACACTCAAAATGGATTTAGATATATGTAAAGCAATGACTCGTTTTCATTTTGGTCATCTGTAGATATGCTTTCAGAGTTGTGCAGAAGAGAGAAAGCAGCTAATATCAAGCCTGATCCAGACATTGATGTCTTCATGAAGGTGAGGAAAAAAAGCTACTGTCCATTGTTGAACACACACACGCACACACAGAGGCAGAGTGTATAGCATGGACTTGGTTATTTTGTGAGAAGAACATGGATTTAACTTCTCTGAAATGATACGCATTACATAGAAACATTAACTTTCAGGATTCATGAGATTCTGTTTTCCCCGACCTTCCCTTCTGGTGGAAATTATGAAATGGAAACTTTACAGTAACTGAAAGTTATAATTTTGCTTGCTTGCTTCAAATTACCTAAGTGAATAAATTTATTGACTTTTTTCGAGTCAAGAATACTTGCTTTATTGGCTTCTGATATTGTAGGCCATAGCAACCGCAGGGCAGGAGGTGAATGTAGTGACAGATTACATTCTAAAGGTACAAAACCTCGAGAACTTTACCTTTGATCATAAGAGTCCTTTCAGAAAGCACTAGAGAATTTTCTAAACACAGTTATATCCAAGTCATTTTTATTGATAGATTCTTGGACTGGAAGTCTGTGCTGATACCATAGTAGGGGATGAAATGTTAAGAGGCATCTCTGGAGGACAAAGAAAGCGTGTTACTACAGGTAAAGAAATTCAACAACTAATGTAATGCACATCATCAAATTGTTCTTGTCTGCATACATTACTGATTTTTAGTATTTTAAAAATTTTATGTACAGGTGAGATGCTTGTTGGACCAGCAAATGCATTGTTCATGGACGAGATATCAACTGGTTTGGACAGCTCGACAACATTTCAAATTGTGAATTCCATCAAGCAATACATTCGCATTCTTAATGGAACGGCTGTCATCTCACTCCTCCAGCCAGCACCAGAGACTTATGAGCTCTTTGATGATATTATCCTCCTTTCGGATGGCCAGATTGTGTACCAGGGATCTCGTGAACATGTGCTTGAGTTTTTTGAATCTATGGGCTTTAAATGTCCTGAGCGGAAAGGCATTGCTGACTTCCTACAAGAGGTAGCTAGGTGTATTTATATAATTTTATGTTCTCTCCTATTTATCATAGGTTGGTGTAGTACATGATGAAAATTACATGTGGAGTGACCTATCTCATTCTATGCATCGTTAAAATTTGCCATAGGTGACATCAAGGAAAGATCAGGAGCAGTATTGGGCATGCAAAGATGAGCCTTATAGATTCACTACAGTCAAAGAATTTAACGAGGCATTCCAATCATTCCATGTGGGACAGAAAATAGGAGATGAACTGTCAATTCCATTTGACAAGAGTAAAAACCACCCAGCAGCCTTGACAACCAAGGAGTATGGTCTTAAAAAGGGAGAACTGTTGAAAGCTTGCTTTTCAAGAGAATATTTGCTAGCGAAGAGGAATTCCTTTGTCTACATCTTCAAGCTGATCCAAGTAAGTTCTAATTTTATATATTTTAGTTCTTGATTTAATATTTTGGACAGAAGTTTTATAATTTGTAATAATCCTTTTTCCTGCTTCTAGCTGACAGTTATGGCTCTGATTTCCATGACACTCTTCCTACGAACCAAGATGCCCCATGATTCAGTAAATGATGGAGGAGTTTACGCAGGCGCTTTGTTCTTCACCGTGGTCATGGTTATGTTTAATGGGATGTCAGAGCTTCCCATGACCATCATAAAGCTTCCTGTATTTTATAAGCAAAGGGACCTCTTCTTCTACCCTGCATGGACATATGCTCTTCCAACATGGATTCTCAAGATCCCTATAACAATTGTAGAAGTAGCACTTTGGGTGTTCACTACCTACTATGTGATTGGATTTGATCCAAGTATAGAACGGTAAATAAGTAAAAAACATCATAACTCACATGTTTGTCATGCATACCAATCCTTGATGCATGGTTTTTTGCTCATGCTGCAGGTTGCTTAGGCAATATCTACTGCTGATACTTGTTAGCCAGATGGCTTCTGCATTATTCCGTTTAATTGCAGCAGC